ACCTTCCTTCTCATCTCGGATCAAGTCAGTGGTGGATACAAGACACCAGCGTTCACAGAGTCATCCTAAATGACCCCCTGGAACATTAAAGCAAAGTCAGACAATGCATCCACATGTCTTTCTTCTTCCCTGCACCTGCTCAATACTTCACATCGTAAAGTAAGACCAGCTTCTCATGTCACTGGAATCAACTGACAAAATAAACCGACAGCCGGGTTCATGCTTTGCACAATATGAGGGTCTGGTGTTTTATTTGCATTGACAAAAGTTATCGGATATTTGGTTTAGTCTGATTCATGCTCTTTAGATCTCCAGTCAGACTACAGTCCCAGCTTCTGACCTCAATGCAGTTCATTTCTGGTTTTTGCAAACTGAATCCCAGTTTTTCACGTCTACATAATGCAAGAAGCTTCATGATGCTTTAGCAAACTTTAGCATGAGATATTAAGTGATGTAGGAGCTGAAAAAGAGGCTAATTAAGCAGAGCCTGTAGTCTGAGTTTAAATAAAGCTTTAATGACTAAATTTGAAAAACAAGGGTCCCAGAAGGGCAACTAACTAGTTAGATGTATCATGAAATAATTGTTTCTGAAATAAATAATTACAAATGTACAAGACTGCCAAAGAAAGGATCAAAATGTTAAGAGCAAAATTTAAAGTGAAACCTACAATTTTTAATCTATAATGATATGAAGCAGACAATCTTGAAAAGGTGCAACCAGACAGTTTTTGCTAAAGTGTTGCTTGAATGATCAAATCAGCTGTTGAGTTTTTGTTGAATGACTAATTGTTTCATCATTAAACTGCAGCCTAAACATCATCAGTGACATCTGGAACGAATAAAACGCTCGCTATGTTTAAAAGCATGCAAAAGGCTTACGCAAGAACAAGCCAGGCTGACTCACATTCAATCTGCTGCTGTTGGAAAGTCATAAATTTGACATCTGAAACAAACCAATAAAATAAGCTGAACTGCTTCTTTTCCTTGCAGGAGTGACTCTGTGTGCTGCCTTTGAGTAATATACAGAAAACTCAGCTCAATATCATCGTTCGCCGGATAAGAAAAAGACAAAGATCTGACAGCCGCTGCAGCTTCCTTGAGGGTAAAACTGAAAATTCCCAAAAAGTTGAAGGATTTATTTTTAATTTGCAGCAAGCTCATGTTTAGTTGCTGCACAGCCAATTAGAAATGAGCACACTGACAGACTGGATCCTGATGTAGGTAATGGATGGATACATGCAGGTCTGACAAAGTGCACTAATTGGCGTGGAAATGTTCATGGGTCTCTCAGTCAGATCCAGCTGACCAAACTCTAGAGCAGGCCAAATGATGACATCATGAGCTGGCAAAGTGTTTTAAGACGGTCACAGCGGGGTAGGCCCGAGCGAGTTTTACTCATCTCAGGAGAAGCTCTCCATCAGCGTCACCATCCCCCCGGTGTGGTGTGAATGCCTCCTCTGTGAGCCAGGCCAAGGATCTGCCAGCGGCCCCTCGTTTTGTGAGCTGAATGGGCACGGCTCAGCCACGTTTTAACACACCCTAATGTACCATGGCTGGACCACAAAGGCAGCGTGGTAATTTGCCAGGGATAATGACGCTCCCTTAATACGGCCCTAGGGGCCACAAACAGAATGCTTTAAAGAGAATCCCCATCCAGGGATGAGTCCCCTGTCCCCCCACTAGTTTTTTTCTAGGTCTCTCTCTCGCTCTCTCTCTTCCTCTGAGTCCTTCTCTCTCATTGGCCTGAAAGGATCTTGTTTTCTTCCGGCTTATTGTCATCCTGAACTAAATATCAGCAAACAGCAGCGGGACTGGAGGAGACGACTCGCCAACCTCGACTGCAGCCCCTGATCTCGAGGAGCGAAGGGAGCAAAGACAAACACGGCGGAGCTTCTTCAGAGCAGCCAGAGAGGGACCACTGCCGCTCTACTCCAATGACACATATTAGGGAAACATATCAAGGCCACAAATTGAACTGAGCAGAGTAGGTGAGAAGGAGGCGAGTCCTGAGCTAAAGGGAGAACGCTATCAGAACACAAGCAAATGCCAGGGCGGGCCTTCAGGGATATTAAATACAGAGAGAGAAGTGTGGGAGATTGAAGCAGAAGTGGTCTGTACTTTTCCTGATAAATTGGTTTGAGGTCTGGAAGGTGTTTTCTTTTGTTTTTTTGTTTTTTTGCAGTGAAGGTTTGTTGGATGAGTAAAATGTTCAGAATGCTCTGAAAGACAAAAGAATAGAGTTTGTTTATGCATGATGATGTGATAAGCCTGGAGATTTATTTTATTTGTGATAAAGTTGGTCTTTATCTTGTTAGACGTTGAATAAAGCTAATAAGTGCTGGCAGATGGCAACCAGTGATCTGCAGCAGGTAAATCTAAAAGGTTATTTAGAGGGATAATAACATTTGATTATCTTGTTTGTGGGGTTTACGGGTTGGGTAACTCGACTTCAACATGCTCAAAATGCAATTTGCATTTGGCAAATTTTACTCAACTGATCCTCATACGGCAGAGAATTTTAAAAAAAAGAACAGAAAGTGCAACAAGAGATACTGACACAGATTCAGACAGTACGCTTGCTAATAGATGTTCACATAATCTCCACTGATGCCTAAAGAAAGATAACAGATCATCTAATCATCTACATAATGTCTTAATCGTGGCATTTCAGTACAAAAGGCTTGATAACTGAATACAGAAACCACAGATTAATGACACTGATGTCTGATTCTCATGAGCCGTTTGGGGGGAAAAAAGCGCTTCCCTTAATAATTGTCATATTTGTTATTATTGGTCGACTATCACAAGTGACTGTTATCAACACAAGACACAATAAAAAAGGAAATCAAATCATAATGCTGGTGAGCTCTTCTTGTACCAGAAGGTCTAAACATAAAATGTGACTAATAAAAACCACAATCACAGGGAGACCACTAGTTTAACAACCTTTCACTCCTTAACTATTATTATTATTATTATTAACCATTATAACTCAGAATTTCATGTGACATCTAGTTCATTGCAGTGTGTACAAAATTTGAAAAAGATGACACAGTATCCAACCTGAGAGAAAACACAACATTTGTAATGTGGGTAGTTTCTTTGGTTTGCTGGGTTTGTAATATATGTATTGCTCAGTGGCGTTTTTTAGTTTTCATATATTTTAGAAAAAAGTCTCCCAGAAATGACATTCCTATGCAACTCAACTGCATTCTCAGCTACCTTTTGACAGAATATTTGTTCTTGATGTATCACCAATACGTTTGAAATTGCCATTTATTTCACAGCTTTACCTTTTCAGTCAACCAATCATATATTAGTTAGGCGCTACTCAGCACCAACAATATTCTCCTGAACCTAACCACATAGTTTTGGTGCCTAAAATGAACCCTCTGAACCCCATCAGGTTTGCAAGGTGTGCACTGAGACGCCCTGAGCTGCAAATAACAGTCACAGGAGACAAGAAGGAAGCAAATCAAAGTCTTAAACGTCTATAGTATGTAGAGTCATTATCATTAACACATGTATGCACTTGGAAAAATGTTGTACATATTGATTTCATGTTTTTTTACATTTTTGTAAAATAAATGTTCAAAAAATTCTAGTTTCATTTTTTCATTTTTTATGATTTAGGGGGTCTGCAAGATGGGTCAGTGGTTAGCACTGTTGCCTCGCAGCAAGAAGGTTGCCGGTTCGCGTCCCGGTGGGGGCACCGGAATCTGTCTGCGTGGAGTTTGCATGTTCTCCCCGTGCAGCGTGGGTTCTCTCTGGGTTCTCCGGCTTCCTCCCACACAGTCCAAAAACATGTTGAGGTTAATTGGTGATTCTAAATTGTCCGTAGGTGTGAATGTGAGTGTGCTTGGTTGTCTGTCTCTAAGTGTAGCCCTGTGATAGATTGGTGACCTGTCCAGGGTGTCTCCTGCCTTCACCCTGAGTCAGCTGGGATAGACTCCAGCCCCCCCGTGACCCTAGTGAGGATTAAGCGGTGTATAGATAATGGACGGATGGATGATTTAGGGTATTATTACTTTACTATACAGCACAACAACAATTTTTGAGTGTTCTCTACTTCTAGTCATGGTTGTACTATTTCCTCAGAAGTGCAGGACTTTGTATCGCAGTGAAAAATGATCCCGCAGTGAGGAAAAATGTGCCCCGAGCGAAAAAAAAAACACCTCGATGCTGCTTGGTGTTCAACGGGTCAAAATGCAAGTCGTTCCCTGAATCTTTGCTGCATGTCCTCTCCTTCACTCTCTCTTGCATTTTCTACAAGTTTGCCACTGAAGACAAAAATACCTTAAATAATATTAAATAAAACAGAGAAAAAAAACCTTCAAACCTCAGGTGTTGAAGGATGTTATAATGAGTATTTTCTTTACTCCTGTTGCAGTCGAATTAATACCCAGCATGCAAACGCTCTGACAGAGGCTCCAGTCTGCTTTTGCGAAGGTAATTTCGCAAGGTGATTGTGCGCTGGCGTCACACGTATAATGATTTCACCGGTGTAAATTAGGCTCAAGGCTGTCTGCGCCTGAAGAGATTCACCGATTCACTTTCACTCAGCGAGAGAGAGAGAGCCGGAAGTGGAGGTGGAGGGAGGGAGGAGAGGTAAACCTTGTCCATTAGCAGCCTGTATGAAGCCCCTCCACCCGTCCACCCACCTCTTATCTTCCTCCTCTCCACTGCCGTACTCCCCCAACTGCTTTTCAAATCAGTCAGAATAGGGCTTTCACCAAAAAAAAAAAAAAAAAAGACTTACTGTTACTACAAAGGCCACAAAAACATGGAGGGAGGGTTGTGGGGAAGAAATACACTGAAAATAAAGTGAGAGAAAGACAAATAATTGCTATCCACAGCACCAGGGAGGGGAAAAAACTGAGCTGGATTGTGCAACAAATACAAAGTAGAACTTCAGGTAGAAGATGTGGAAGAGCCAATTGAGGAAATGTATGAAAGTGACATGAAAGTTGTGAATAAGAGAAAGATTAAAGTGTACTCACCAGCTAAGCATCACTGGGGTGGAGGGACGGGGCTGAGAGGGCCGTCTGTCCTTTTCAAATTGATTCTAGAGAGAGAGAGAGAGAGAGAGAGAAACGGGGGAGGGGGTGAGTCTTTCACTAGTTTGCTCGCCTCCTTCTCATAAGCAGAGCGCCGAGCCACAAAGAAGTGCTGGCGCTCCCGTAAACAAACCGCCAACTTTTCAATGGAGCAGAGAAGGCGGAGCAGGAATGGCATTTAAACTGAGACTTCGCCGGGTTTTGTGGTTGGGGTGGGGTGGGGAGGGGGACGGAGGATAAAGGAGGACCTGCGAGATGCCTTTACATCAACTGAAGGCCTAAACTGGACAATAACAAACCACAAAGTTCAACGTAGTTCAAACACATTAAACCCCATATAACATTTAAAAAAAAAAACAAAAAACAACGGCCTTGTGTCGCACAGAAAACACAAACGTGTCTGACTGCAAATGAACAATATTGATGTAAATGAGGCGAACAGATGCCTCGCGGTGTCGAATCAAACGCCGATGCTAATATGCAGAGAGCACGTTTGGTTCCAAGCTTTTTGATCTCAATGCCACAGAGCAAATTGGAACAAATAGCCCTAGTTGGTTTCTACGGCAACCTGAAGGAGCAGCTCAGACTTGTGATCCCTCTTGTGGCGTCAACCGCCGTGATATGGCTGCTGTTTCCTTCACTTCCACGCAGAGCAGTAAAAATGAGTAAAAGAGGTTTTTTTTTATTATTATTGTTCTCCAGAGAGACTGATCACGTCTGCTTGTACGTCCACTACAATCAACTGTGCATTCTTTCAGGATGCTGCTATCAATTAAAATCGAATGCAGAACTCAAGAAGCATGCGTCTATGTGGCTAAAAGTTAAACATATTTGCCAAGTAGTCTATCTAAAAAATACTGAAAAATGTCCACTATCACCTAATTAAGCATTAATTTAAAAGTTTTTTGAGTTCTCTCAACGTCTAGTCATGGTTGTTCTGCTTCCATGGAGGTGCAGGAAAAATTATCCCACAGTGAGTAAAAATGTAACAGGAGCAAAAAAATCTGCCCAGAAGTTACTGATGCTGACCATGTAACTGCAGTTTCCCTGAATCTTTGTTGCATTTCATCTCCATCACTCTCTTGTATTTTCTCCATGTTTGCCAGTAAAGACTCAAACACCTGAAGCAACATTAAAAAAAACTATTAAAAATGAAAAAAGAGGGATTGCACATTGTCCAATTCCTCTGCTGAGACTGATCGCATCTGCTTGTATGTGCAATATAACCAACTGTGCATTCATGCAGGATGCCGCTACCGATTAAAATCGAATGCAGAACTCAAGAAAGACGTCTCCAGCAGATGTATTTTTACAGTATTTATGGCTAAAAGTAAAACATATTTGCCAGGTAGTCTAGAAAATATCTGAATATTTTGAAAAATGTCCACTATCACCCAATTAAACATCCATTTCAAACTTTTTGGAGTTCTCTCTACCTCTAGTCATGGCTGTTTCATTTCCACTCATGTGCAGGACTTTATACTGCAGTGTAAAAATGATCCGACAGCGAGCAAAAATGTAACACGAGCAAAAAAACTGCCCAGAAGTTACTGATGCTGAGCATCTAACTGCAGTTTCCCTGAATCTTTGTTGCATATCATCTCCCTCACTCTCTTGTATTTCCTCCATGTTTGCCAGTAAAGACTCAAACACCTGAAGCAACATTAAAAAAACCTATCAAAAATGAAAAAAGAGGGATTGCATATTGTCCGATTCCTCCGCTGAGACTGATCGCATCTGCTTATATGTACACTATAATCAACTAAACTCATGTAGGATGCTGCTACTGATTCAAATTGAATGCATTTCACAGTATTTAGGGACAAAATTAAAACCTTTTTGCCAGACAGTCAGTAAAATATCAGAAAATACAGAAAAATGCCCGTTACCAAAACACTAGCATCCATGTTGACAAAGTCAAAATATGGATTTAAGTTGGACCCAGAGACTACGAGGCCTTTTCGCTTCACAAACAACCGCTAATCAAAATCGGTGTCACTTAATTAAACGTCCAGTTCAAAGTTCCCCTCCGCCGAATTCTCCAGCTCGACGCCGAGACACTTAACATCCAGAAAGACAGGTAGACAAATGCAGTAAAGAGGATTTTCTATGGAGCTAAGCTGAGAATTTAGGCCTGAGCAGCGGGAAGTGTCCGCTCAAACAAAAAAACTCCCCATAATCTCCGGTGTCAGTGTGGGATCAGGCTTTATTCACTGCAACAAGTGAGGAGGAAGAATTCTCATAAACTGCTTAGTCTGTGACCTTCCTCTGGTCGTGCTCTCTTTCAGAAACATGCACCTCCTCCTCCAATCTCCTGCAGGGATGCCTCGACGCCAGACAGTCAGTGTCTGGGATTACTCAACCCTCTTCAAATTCAGAAAAACTTTACCGAACTTAACTGACTGGAATGCGAAATCCGGCATCATCCAAATCACACCAGAGCTGCGATTTGATGAACACACATAACAAAAGGTGCCATCAGAGCTCTGAATAACTGCCCACATCTCAGTTTCTGGCAGTTCAAATTGGCCTGGTGCGTTCACTGACAGCTGCAGTTTGAAAAAAGCCAGAGTCAGTCAGAGCTTTATGGACAGCATCAAGAATATGAGAAGAACATCATCTTCCTTTAAAAAAAAAAAAGAGAGAGGGACAGAAAAATAAGTGTGGTTTAAAATGCAGGTAAGAAATGTGATATTCCTCTTGCGCTTTGACTTAAAATGATTTTGACAGAAGAGTATGTTATTCAAGGCTGATAGCGCAGAGAAATGACAACCTCTCACCGACTGAAAGCAGCTAATAACGCAAACTGTCTGCAGACTGCATCACAAAGTGAAAACAAAATGGCAATTTAGCCTAATTATGAGGCCGACACAACAAAGCAGCTGTTCTGTAGCTACGCTGGCACGTCTGGGAGGCTGCTTAGGCATAAATATCCTGCTGGTTAGAAAGCATTCAGACCACATTTACTTGTCCAACAATCCATCAATCAGGACCAATACATCGATTCAATGATCCAGTATGCCTGGTTCCATACGAAAGCATCGATCTGTGTCACCATCTTTAAGTGAACTCATAAAGAACATGCTCACTTAAATGTGGCACTTTATAGCGAACAACACAAAGCATATTTGCTAATTACAAGTTACTTAGTTGCTTTTCATGACTTAATATAAATCCTCTGAAATGAATCGAAACTGTATCGCAATAAACTTTGTTGTCCAAAGAATCCATGTAATACTTTGCCTGATAATTAGCACAAAAAACAAAGTCCAGATAAGGCTGAGGGACATATGATTTGTTCCCCAGGTCTGAATTTGGTCATAAAAAACTCATTATTGGACAAAACAAAAGTTTGGCCTGATGATAGAAAGTTAACCACCAAAGTTATTACAATGTAGAGAACATGGATGTCATAGAAATCCATCCAAATAATGTCGAAAATTGACTCTTCAAACCACAAACCTGAGCCTCATGTTGGCGTTAGAGGATCTCCAAACTGAATAGGATTCATCACCTGTGAACAATGCATGTCTGCAGCAAATTTAACAGCAAGCGAACCAGCAATAGTTGAGATACATCAGTCTAGACTGAGCAACCAATAATATTAACAGCAGGCAATTTGACATGTCCTGGCACCGAAGGCACAGTTGTAATTGGTAGCATTAATAGTGACTGCGTTCCATTTAGGTGAGCCAGTCGGAGGGTCATGATAGCGGACCTGCTGACTCACTGCTGAGGCACTTAACCTTATGAACCCCTAAAATCACCAGACGGGTCTGAAAGGCATGTTATCAATCCCCAAAATGAAACCATTTATCAGGTCCAGATACTGTGAAAACAGAAAGAACTGTGAGCTCAACTTCAACTTTCAATTATTCCATCAGAAAAGTTGGCCAAATCTAAGCTGAAAGATGGGGATGTTTCTTCAAAATATTTTTATTCTACATGTCTGATTTGGGGCTGCGGAACAGTGGTTAGCACCGTTGCCTCACAGCAAGAAGGTCGCCGGTTCATGTCCCAGTGAGGACACCTGGGATCTTTCTGCGTGGAGTTTGCATGTTCTCTCCACGCAGCGTGGGTTCTCTCTGGGTCCAAAAACATGATGAGGTTAATTGGTGATTCTAAATTGTCCGTAGGTGTGAATGTGAGTGTGCTTGGTTGTCTGTCTCTAAGTGTAGCCCTGTGATAGACTGGTGACCTGTCCAGGGTGTCCCCTGCCTTCACCCTGAGTCAGCTGGGATAGACTCCAGCCCCCCTGTGACCCTAGTGAGGATTAAACTATGTATAGATAATGGATGGATGGATGTCTCATTTGAAAATTTGCACTAAAAAGATTCTGCTAATAAAACAAAGATATTCTGCATTCTTGTGTGTAACCGTGAAGCTGTTAATGATCAAAAGTCTCGGGACAAAAATTTAGGAACCATTTGGCTGGACTGGGCTGAACTGCAGGCTGTGTTCCCACAGAGCAGATTGGAGACACTGATGGAAATAAACAAAAAATCTAAGTACTAAAATAAACTAAGTATGTAAAGTTTCCTTCTTTTCCAGAATTAATAACACCTGTAAACCCTTGGACAAATGTTGCACATGTTGATTCCAGGCTTTTTCATTTTATGTAAAATAAATTATCAAAGAAATTCTCTCTTTTTTTTGTCTTTTCTTTTGATTCATGTGATTCTAACTGTACAGAAGACGGTTCTGAGCTCGTTCTACTTCTAGACATGAGTTGCAGAACTTCATATTGCAGTGACAAATTACTAAAAATGTGACAGACGAGGAAAAACACTCAGAAACTTCTTGGGGTTTTGTGGATCAACTGAACCATTAATAACTAAATTAGTCTGCTGTGACATTTCAAATGCCTGTCATCAACACACAATCGAGGCAAATGAAAATGTGTTCTTTGCTCCAAAGGATTTATATGACAACCAGCTTTCAACTGTTGTAAAGGATAATCTCCATCGTAACTGGTCGGAATCTACACCAAAAGACGAGAACCATCTAC